TTTAATAATAGGGAAGGGTAGGGGAAATGAGACTCTGGGGAATGAGAGTGCATCACAAAGTGATAGCAGACATTAGGATGTCTAGTCATAAGCAGCACCACTACTACCTGCTCATAGCTGAATTTCAAAAGAGTAGCGAGCAAGAGAAGTTGCTCTGAGAGAGATAATATCTTAAGTGGAGTAAACTCAATAATGTACTAGTGAAAATATTCTGTGAAAAACAGTGTTGTGAGAAGAAAACATGTAGGGCAATAAGAAATCAGAGACAGAACTGACAAAAGTCAACTCACCTTTCACTGATTTTTCATGTTTAACTGAAAAGCTGGGATTAACTTTGGACAGAAGCTTCCCTTTCATGATTCAGTCTGTTCCAGTTCCAGACAGCCCAAGCCATTATTCACACATCAGTCAAGAACCATGAAAACAACTAAGGAGAGAGGCAGATTTTGCCTCGTGTTCTGATGTGCACACACAAGAGCTCCTGTGCCTGGCTGCTCACAAGACAAAATCCTGCAAGAGTTTCCTTGCAAATGAAGCATCCTGCTACTTCAAAATCCCATGTGTGTCCACAGGTTGGACAGAACTGTGGACTCTTCAGACAGAAAATAAAATAAATAAGAGTATTTGAAAATCCCAAGGATTGCAGATACATTCAAGCAAAACACTTTCTCACATACACACTCATTATAGCTTTTAAATTTAAAAGTATGGCTACGGACATCTACTCTGGCTCCTTCTTATCAACATACATAGATTTCTTCAACTACATCTACAACCTTCAACTAAGCTAAAACAGAGCTATTATAAAGCCATTGAGTTTTAATACAAAGACTCTAAGTGGCAGATAACCCATTGACATGCTGAGGTAAGTTTCTCCCCTGGTTAAAAAATCCGTGTATTAAAATTTAACTCTTCATTTATGGTTCCAGAGGGAAGATTTAGTAAGAAATCAGCTAGACTATGTAAAGTTTTCAACCTCTCCAGTTCAACATGTTTTATAGGACATTTAAAGATGATTTTTATATGCAGCAGAAATAATAGTTTCTTCTTTGCTTAAAGGAAAAGAGGAAATAAAACTGTGCAATGTTTTATAAGATGCAACTGCTTTTTTCTTTTTGAAGGTCTTGTTAAAAGTCCTGTTACCAAAATTCTCCTTTGCCAGGCACAGAACTCAATTGGAATTCTGCAAAACACCAAAATTTTCCTGCTTCTCTCCAGTGAACACCCATGTACATGATACATGAGCTGTACTTGATACAGAGGTGCATATTCCATGCATAATTCTTATCTCCATAGCAGGAAAAGAGACATACATTTATTTGAACTTCTGGGATAACAAGCAAAGATGAAAAAAAGTGAATTTGGAGAGCACCGTGAACCTGGGCTGTCAGGGGAAGCAGCTTTGAGGTGGCAAACACTGAGGTGGTTTAACACATCCTGAAACTACTTTTTTAGGTATCCTTGCTTCGATCCTTCTGCCATCAGCATTTGCCCTAGGACATGGTACTGGCAGCACAGCATTGATGCACCCAGAATGCCCCACACATTACCCTGAAAAAGTCCATCCTCATCCATCCTCATTAAGAATCCTGTTGGCTCTTCACCACTCTTAATGGAGGACTTCATGCCACAGCAATTCTACACCCAAAGGAAGCTTGAACAGAGTCAAAGTCATGGATAACTTGCTTGTCATTTACTTATGGAAAGACAGGTGTGGAGAACATGAGCATGTTTGATAGTTAATAATTTAAAGCCAAGGTGAAGACATCAGAGGAAGAATGACACTCCTTATTTCTCCCTATAAACAGATCTCTATAGATGCCTCTTTGAGAGGGTATCAACATCCATCAGCACACAGAGTTCAGAGCTGGGCACACACCATCTAGTTTTAAGGATAAAAAAAGGATTATTGCTTTTACACTGAGAGCACAAAATGGTAGAATCAGCAGGAGGTGATTAGTGCCAAAAAGAAATGGGTTTTTTTTATGGCAAATTAACACAGAAAGTGATTTAAAAGATAGAATTAAATCAGAGACAAAGGTGCGGGTTCATAAAACTCCCAGTCCTACCCTTGTAAAATCAAAGATAATTCTCCAAAAGCACTAAATCCCATGTAATCACTGAAAATTCCTATTTGCTTAAAAGGGAGCTGGATTAGGCCTCTAATTAAGTTCTGTAAAGTCTGTTTGGTCCAGATGAACAACTGAGAGATGGACAATGTCCAAGGAACAACTCTGTGACATGGTCTCAACATCCTCCACTACAACTTGCCAGCACAACTGCTCCCGCTGTTACCTTCCAAACACTGGAGTAAAGCTATTTTTGCCTGTTACTGCTAAATGCATTTTGCCTTTGCCTAGCAAAAAAAGCAATATCACATCTAATCTCACAAGTTCCCAGTGAGCCAAACACAAGATACTGTCCCTTGAATTCTTCCTGAGACCAACAAAGGCTTTCCATTATTTACAAATCAAAAGCATTTAGAGACAATCATCTTTATTTTTTTATTTAAAACAAGGAATGCCCTGTCACTATTATATAAGAAAAAATATACATCCTCCTATTTATACCCATCTTAACCAAGCAATCAAAAAAAAAATATAAATCCTATTCATGCAGGTAATTACTGCACAAAATAATAATAATAATAATAATAATAATAATAATAATAATAATAATAATAATAATAATAATAATAATAATAATAATAATAATAATAATAATAATAATAATTTATAAATAAAATTAAAATAACAAAATACACTCTTCTGTTCCAACAATTGTCCCAATTTAGCCTAGAAATTCTGCTTGTAAATTGTTGGAACACTTGAAAATTATAAAATTAAAAATAGTTAAATTAATATGATTATTTGCTTTTGATTATTAATACCATTGCTAGTTTTTCTTGTGTTTTTATTATGCATACCAGTTTTAAAAAGTGCATGCTTTATTTTTTTTTTTTTTGTAATTTTGAACTGGCAAGCTAAAATGATCCATCTTCTCCTGCCTTTTTTTAAATGTTAATACAATCTAAAATCTAGCATTAAAAAATTTACCATGATACACCTGGTATATTGACTGCTTATGGCGCATGCTTGTCTTGGCAAAAGAAAAAAAAATTCAAAACAAATTGGCTCCCCTCCCA